CTTTCTCTCACACACACGACTCTCCCAGGCCCTGACAACAAATGGAAAAGATTACAGTTTATATAAACAGAATTCCTAACAGTGAGACACTGTTGGAGGTCCCACTAAACTCGTTCTTTCTGTCTTATTCTACTCTTGTTTTCCTTTTCGTTATGTAAAGAAGTTCATTTAAAGTTGAGGGAAAGGCTATGCCGTGAAAACAACGATGACCTATGTGAGATTTCAGTGGCTGCATGTGAACTCGCTTTAAATCGATAAAGCGTTGAAGTTAAGTGACTGTGTGTGGCTTAAAGACAGTCACGGTTTGAGCAGACAGCAAGAAATTGAAAATATCTCCATGAAGTGTTTTGTCACAACTGGTTAGGATGACGCGTTATGTTTCTGATAAAGGAAGGAAACAAGGTCAGTGGTTAAATTGAAAAATATGTTATAAGGGGAATTTTGTTAGAGAGATCAAGGGCTGCTGAAATGGGCTGAATGAGCTGAGCTGAGCCGAGCTGGGTGTGTATATTGGTTGTGAAATCACACCCAGCATGAAAACCACAAACTCTTTCCTGGAGAGTGACTTTTGTCAAATGCAGTAGCAGTAGTAGTCTATTCAGAGGAAAGAAGCGTGTTTACAGAACACTCAACAACTATTATCTCTGTCCTTATTGGCTTTTTTCCTCTGTTCCAGCAATCTTTTTCCCCTCCTTTCTTTTACCTCTTTAAGTCCGGCTGGTGGTTAACATCTCATCTCTCTCTTTTTCTGCTTTCTGTTAGTGTTTAAGTGGAGTCCTCTCTAATTTTCTCAGGGAGCTCTTTCTTGTGGCCTGCCTCCACCCCTGGCCTCCCCAGAGCTTCAGTGAAATGCACGCACGCAGTGTGAACGAAAAACCAAACGAGAGAAAGTCTTGTAGCAGCAGCAGTGGGGGCATCAAGGCATGTTTTAGTTGGACTGAGTCGGGAATCGGTTTTGCCCCCACCCCACCCCGCATTTGATACACAAGCACTGGGCTTTCCCTGACTTCTTCCCCTGGGCTACTTCCCTTCCTCCTGTGCCAACTATGTGTGTGTTTGGTGGTGTTGTGTACGTGCTGTTGTCCATCTAAAACATCAGGAAACTGTGGTCTTGCCCTTTTTTTTATCCCATTAGAAGACAAATTAAATGGGAAAATGCATAGAACTAAGATGTTTGTCAAATGTTTTTCACTTTATGTAAAAGTGTCGTTAGTCCAGTTGATGCTCTAAATCGATCTTAACACCTGGATTATGCCTCTGTGTTACTATGAGTTTGTGCACATGCATATGCACTTTGTAATGCACATGTGTGCAGGCAATAGACCGGAAAAGGAGGAGGGTTGGCAGACCTGTTCAGTATAAACACAGGGGTGTTTTGGTATTGCCTGGCTTCAACTAAATTCCAGCTGAATTTACATTTAGTAGCTGCTACTAGCTAACGAGTAAGGTGTGGTCACTCTCATTGCTTTTTCTTACTATATTTCACCTTCACTTCTTGTTTAATAGGGGGATTGGGAGATTACAAGATGTTACCAGATCATTTTAATCACAAACTAGTTCATTTTAGAGCTAATCATGTCTGTCCTAGGTTCAAACTAATGTACTCCATTTCTCTCTTCATCAGGTATTTCTTTGCTGTGTTGGCAATCCTGACTATGCTGGGGATGCTGAATGGTTTGGTTCTCCTACCAGTCCTCCTGTCCATGATGGGCCCTCCAGCTGAGCTCACCCCAGCTGACAATGCGAGCCGCCTGCCCACGCCTTCCCCTGAGCCACCACTGCCTCCACCCATGACCCACCATGGGTACTACACAGGACACCACAACCCACAGTCATCTCATCGACAAGCATTTTCAGAGTTGTCAGACTCTGAGTATTACTCTGAGATGACCACCACATCAGGGATCGGGGAAGATGATTTTAAGTACTGTGACCGGAGTGCATACATAGCATCACACACCAGCGTTCCACCTGCTACATCTCACATACTACTAGAAGCCAGCAAGAATCCCAGCTTCCCAAAGCTCACGGTATGCTGCATGACCACACAGATCTGATAGAAACCCCTCCTGTATATTCAAGTGACTTTCAAATTCATGTGTGTTTCTGAATCATTTTATGAAGATGTGTTTGTTGCAGGTGGTGAAACCATTCAGAGACAATGCAACAGGCACCGGTGGCAGGAGAGATCTGTTAAATGAAACTTCACACAAAGCGCAGTCACCTCTCAGCTCCCAGGTTACGTGCTGGGATGGAAACCAGTGGGAGCAGCAGCAGGGCCTTCAGAGGTTCCAGGTTCAGTCTGGCCAACACTTACCTAGTGATAGAGCTCATTCTGGGAGGACTTGTCAAAGTGGCCCCAGGCTTCAGAGCAGCCGAGGGCCTCAGCCAAACAGGACTAAGGGGCCGAGCTATAGCAGCAGCAATTCCGCTCTGCCGACACAACAAGGCTCCAGCGGGGGACCTGTTACTATGGTTACAGCCACAGCCTCTGTGACGGTTGCTGTGCATCCGACCTTGCCAGGGGCAACATACCAAGGCTACATGCATGAAGGTTTTGACACAGACAGTGAGTCGGACTGTTTTGAGGCCGCTAACAGGACGTGTGGTGACAAAACAAACTTTTCTTCATGTAAGATAGACTCTCTAGAGCTCCAGGACTTGGAAGCAACACAGGGCCAGACAGAGCTAAAATACAAGGTGAGTCAGCATCTAGTTTATCTTCGGTTAATCTGACTTGTAATCGTTTAAGCAGGCATGCTAAGAATGTACTCATACATTTAGCCTAACAATTAGTAATAGCACGGTGTCTAGTTTTTCTAGCCTTAACTTCTCTACTGTTTGAATGCCAGTTTAGCAGTGTCTAATTCTTTTCTCTCACCTTTGTTTGTCTGCTGCAGGTGGGTTGAGGATCCATGCAACCATGATTACTAGACTCCCTCTCACATGCTGTGCCTTCCCTCTTCGAGTCTCTGGTTGCTTCCCAGAGCACCCTGATGCACACATGGTGTCACATCATGTCATGAACTCTCAGTTGTACATAGACTTCACACAAAAAGGAGAGGCTTTATTTCAACAAAAGACTGACTTGTTTTAAGAATTATATAAATTTATGAGTATATATTTTAATACTAAAAAAGAGGGAAGCTATTTAAAGAGTACTGTATAACTTGGGTATACTCTTTTGTAAAATTTCAGATGTAAAAGATTATTTTTGGGGTAGTGGATGATTTTTCCACTCCATGATGTATAGAATAAGAAATGTGCTATATGTAAAGAAAAATAAAGTCCATAAAATGTTAATAAGATATTAGGCTATTGAACAAACATGGTCAGTGTTTTATTTCAATTTGTATTATGTTCTTTTTTTGCTGCTACACTTCAAAATAACTTTAAGTGATTTGCCTTAAAAACATGCAGTTCCCCCTCTTCCCCCTATACTTTGTGCACAGTATTATACTGTGAGATATTCTGCATCTGACACTCTCTCTTAATGTTATATTTCTGTCTGGGTGCCCCATGGTCCTCTGCAGTTTTAAGCTACTTGAAGGAGCTGTGATCATTTTTTCTCTTCTGCAGTTTTTGTAAGCTCTACGGTGGGTGAAATTCATATTTGTCACTTTGTGTTTGACAAAAGCGTTCATTTTCCTTTATTATTTTGGAAGGGAACTATAAAATTCAGTGAAAGGGAGTGATTTTATTTGATTTAATGACTTAGATTTTTTTTTGTTTAGCTTGCTGCTTTAGGATTATAACATGTTCATGTTGTTGTGGTCCTGTGCAATCATTACATCATGTAAACTGGTTCAACCTTTTTAATGCTTCATCCCGCTCTGGCTCACTTTCTTCTCACATTTCTTTCATTCTTAGGATTATCATTTCATTTCCTTTACCAAGTTTCTCTTATTCAGTATTGGTCTCATCACTGCCAAATTTAATTGCAGGGAAATTTTGCCAATCTGTTCTTTAATATGTCATTTTTAAATGGCAGCTTTGGTTTCTTTTGTATATATAAAAAATGAAATACATAGCTACTGTGCAGTTGTAAATAACTGAGCAAAATGAGCAAAGCACCATTTACAGTTTGAACAGAGCGTAGACAGCCAGGAGGTGTTGTCAGACAGTGGTGAGGAGTTTGGAGGGGGGCTCCTGCATTGTTTTGTAGTTTATTTCAGAAAATTGTTAATGTCATGCCATATAAATTATTTATATTTTTTGGATGGGAGGGATTGACAACACTTTAGAGCAGAGGCCATTTCTTTCTTTCTTTTTATGGAGCAAAGTTGGAGGACCATGAAGGAGAAGGTGTGTAGGAATGTGTCACTGTTGTTTTTAAGTTTCCTCTTGGCCTTTCCTTCTTCATTGTCATTTTGAAACTGTCTTTGACCATGTCTAAAACACTGTGACTTCTGAAAACTATGCTCAAGAAAACCCTTGTGTGACCGTCATGTTCCCTCACCTGCTATAGAAATTTAACTAACAAAATAAACTGAATGAAAAAGTGTTTCTGCAGTCTTTGCTAGTTTTTGTAGTGTGTTTATGTGTATTTCCTTGTGATACTACAAAAACACATAGATTCAGATGAGCTAACTTAGGATCTGTATTTGCTTGTTAAATACTCTTTAAACAGGCTTGGTCTATTATCAAGGTGTACAGTATTACTGAGGTGTCAAACAGTTTGGTGTCACTATGGTGATATTTTAAAGCCCAGAGTTTCCATATTTCATATCTACTATAAGTGACTTAATTTTTCTGAGTTTATAATATAATAGTTATAGGAAAGCATGATGCAAAGTCAGGATCACTGTAATATGCTAAAAGGTCGTTAGCTCACTTTTTTTAACTGGAAAATTTATCTCATTGAGTTTTGCCTGTAAGTCAAGTCAAATTTATTTATAAGATGTATATTGTAAACATATATGTAGAACATAATCCAGGAGGACAAGCAGCATCCAGGTGCCTCTGACAGACCTGAGTGAGAGAGAGGGCAGGCTACACAAACCCCAGCACGTCATTCACACATATAGGAAAAGGAAACATTAGACAGAGAGACAATATGAATACAGGAAGTGTGACAAAGAAGAGGCTGGGACTCCTGGAGACCAACAGGCGTTATACATGAATGGAGCCAAAGGGGTTGCCAGGGGTGCCATCAGCCATTCCCAGAATCCGATTGCCCACCCCTAGTGTCACCCCTGCCAGAGTCAAAATGTATTAAGTATTAATGAATGAAAAACAAAAAACAAAGGCACGTTAATTACAACTAATGTTTTTTCTAGTGCTTTATAATTGATATTTGTCAGGTTTGCCCGGCTGCACCTTCCTCTCTTGCTTTTCTCACTTTAGTTTTGTTTCCTCACCCTGATTACACAATCTAGCACACCTGCCCCACTTCCCCTGATTATCACCAGCTGCACCTGTTCAGTCCCATTTCTCAGGCCCCTTTGTTCGTGTGTTCTTTCTAGTCCTACAGCTATACCTTTGTTTAGTCTAGTCCTTTTGTCTCCTTGCTCCTTTTTACCCTCGGTCTCCTCGTTTCCATTTTTTTCTCTCACTACATTCTCCTGCTCATGTTTTTGTGACTACGGACCTCTCCTCTGGACCCTGGAACTACTCAACCCTACCAGCCGCCACCATACAGGTTGATGCACAGTCTCCATTAACTGTCATTACATGCTCCTGTCTCCACAGTCATCATCACCTCAACCACGATCAGTTCAGGATCGACCCCAGCATCCGCAGCCCGACCTACAACCATCCATCTCACCAGCCACTGTTTTCCACTACCATAGCTCGACACCCGGTGACTCCTTATCATTTCTGCAACTGTCTGTTTACTTTCACTGTTATTGGCACTGTAAATAAATCCGTCACTACTTGCACCGAAGCCAGCCACCTGGGTCCGTCTTTCTTTGCTCGTTCATACCCGTGTCCGAGCAATCATAACAATATTGGTCAAATTGGTTTTATTTTATATCATGCATGCATTTACATTCATTTCTCCAGTTGTGTTGTTGTGAAGTACTTGGCCTCAGTGGGAAGTAAATAATAAAATAAAGAGTGCAGCCAAAGTTAGCTAAACTGTGTATGTGTCATTTTTACACAGAATAAAACTATTTGATTCTGCATAATGTATGGTTTAGTATTTCATGGAACTATGGGGTTTAGTTTACTTTTTACATGGATTTCAAATGTGCCACCCCTTTCTGAATTTGTGCCCGAGCCTGGCCACTCCATCCAAAACTTTCTAAAGCTGCCCCTGTATAGACATAGAGTTTCATTATAATCATTTGTTTAAAATAAGTCATTTCAAGATAAAATTAGATTGGTTTTCATTTCTGCTTTATTGTTATTTCATTGTGCCGTTAGTTTTTTTATATTGGGCAGGCACTACATTATGTATGTGTTATTCTACTGTATGTGGCTGTTTTAAAACTTATCCACTTCATAAACAATGAATTATGCTGACAACCACTGAACTGGAGCCTTGAAGCACCTGGAAAGTGTTTGGGATCAATGGCTTTCTGGATCTTTGTTGTGACTCGTCTGTCTAAACCTCCGTCTTTGTGCGTGCACATGCACACAACCACATACACGCACACACATGCACAAATATTTCTACTATGCTTATTGCACTGCACATTCTTAAAAATCCAAACACAAAACAAACTGCATACTCGCACACATACAAACATATACAGCCCCTCGCCTCCTCATACACAAATGCACACACAGAAAGGCCCACCTGTGTAGATGAAAAGTAGATGCTGTAAATTCCTTCTCTTCCCACACAACAGCTCCTCGTTTGTCAGGCCAAGCAAAGCAGCCCATGTCTGAATCTGATACCTCAGCCTTTTGAAGTTACTGTCATGCACATCCACCTCTAAACCACAGCTCATCCACACTCACGCACACAGAAGCAAACAACACAATGTTCAGCACAAGATAAAACTTACATTCTATTTATTTACTATGTAATATAACACACACCCTAAAGCAGTAAACAATACCGGCCAGATTGATTTAGTTGTATTGCTAATGAGAACAAATGTGCCCCCTGAGTCATATCATCCTGAGAGCACATGTTGTATTTAATATCACAGCTCAGTGACAAGAAAATGAAAACATGCTGTCTAGTTATGGGTCAAAGCAGAGCTGGAGCTGATCCCAGCATGCATTTGGTGGAAACTAGGTAAACAACATTTCAGACTAATATTCACAGCTATGAACAAAGTAGTGTTTCAGAAGTAATTAAGGAAAGAAACCCAAGAGAAAAGAGCAGGAATAAAAAAATGCAAGCGCTACTCAGCAAAGGCAGCTTTATTTTACTAGGTGTGTCTTGCTAATCACTTAGCCGCTGTACCACGTCTTTACAGTGAAAACACTAGTAAAGTTTTAATGTGGTTGTAAAAACGTTTTAATTTAAGAGTATGCTAACGCAAGACATTAAAAGCACCCATTCATTTTCTTCTAAATGTCCCAGGAAGAAAATAATGAAGTCATTTTTAAAAAACTGATAACACAGGCTGGTTTCAATATAATTAACACAACTTCATCACTGAGTTTCCCACAAGCATAATGGCTGTATCAAATAAAGATGGATAACTTTACAGTTCATTTGTGTTGACCTGAACCTTTCTCTGTTTGGAGATGATGTTTAGGTTTATTGATAATGATGGGACAAACCAGTGGTGTAATGAGCACAGAAGGACCATACTTACATCTCCTGTCAATGTGTACTTGACAAAGACACTGAAACCTTACCAGCTCCAGTGTTGATCTATGTCTGAATTTAACCTCTGACCATCAAGTAAAGGGGATGGGTTAATTTAAACTATAAATGAGCTTGAACATAAATTAAATAATCACTTTGAAAATAGGTGTGAGGTTGTTGACCTGTCTGACAGAGCACGTTAATTAGAGATGGGGCATTATGCATCAGCAGTCTTGAATTTTTGCTGTCTTGCACTGAGCAAGTGTACAAAATGAAACTAATTCCAGTAGTGCAATGAAAATACATATTCAGTAGATATGCTGTACATCTTGGCTACAGATAAAGACAGCTCTGGTCTTCTGCATTTGGCCACAAGTTGTCATCAACATTGCTCTTTACAGTAATTAACATCAAAGATCTGTCAGATTTAGCCAAAAGATTAATCTTCATCCATAAGTCTCTGGCTGATGATGGTTTATGGTTAATCAATCTTCTGTCCAGAAGAGATGTTCGGGCATCTAGCATTCATCCAAAAGGGACATCTGATCATGCTGGCTGTCATAAACTGTCCACCTCTATGAGGAAAATAGTTCCTCTGTGGTGTTTAGAAATGGACAGTAAACAACTACAGAACCTTCTGGATTCAGCCTCACCTGACTCCTTTCCTGACCTGGCTCAAGATTTTCAAATAGTTATCAAGAATGAACATAGGGGCGCAGTGGTATATGTCAGAACTGTGCAATTATTTGTCTTTTTAGATGTAGCTGTGCCACAGTGTAGCAAATCACAGTGTAATTTACTTTTATTTAGTTTTATGTTTTTAGTGGAATGTAAATGTAATAATTTTTGCAGTAGTATGTACACAGTGTAAATGTATAGAAATTTGAGCACGAATGTGAAAATAGCTCATGTAATTTGAATGCATTTAGTATTAAAGCAATACAACATTGGCTTTTGTTGTGCTGACAGTGTGGAGAGTTTTGTGAAAAGCTTAGTATTGACAAACACATGTTAGCGATTGCTAAAAACAAGTCTGTAAATCTCCTGCATGTGCGCAGACAATGAATGTAACTGTGGTTAAAAGCGCTTACTCCCTGCTTTCTGTGTGTGAGTACAGTGTGTTGGTCCAGATAAAGCCTCTCAGTGCCAACTCCTGACCTGTGTGTGAAGCTGAGATCAACAGAGTAAAAGACACCACAATGAAGGTACAAAAAAAAAAAACCATTCTCATATTCTGGTGATGCTGGTGTTGGTGTTTATGCATGTGTGTATGAGTGTGTGCACCACTTGGGTGGCCCGAGGATGAGCAGCCATTGTTGTTGGAATTCAATAGGGCTGATTAGTAAAGAAAAGTGTGCATGTGCGCTTGTGTGTGGAAAAACATGCACTGTGTGTCTACATGAAGCAGGGGGTGATGTATGTGTATTGCTCAGTTTAAAAAGTATTTTAGAAAAGTAATTAAAAATAAAATGTTGCACTACCTTGATGAGGTAATTA